TCCATTGCTCCTCTCCCCATGGGCCCTTCTGAAGAAGTATTTTTGTCTCCACAGATTCTTATGCACGTGCTAATTCACCTGACGTGTCAGGCTGCTGTGGGCTGAGGCATGTTCACCAGTGGACAGAGGGCCTTGCTGGCTGACCCCTTGTGAGCCACAGCAAAGGGCATGGGCCCACAGGAAGGCGCACTGGTCATGGCCCTCAGTAGACTTCACTCTCTCCTTTCAGGGACGCAGGGCCTCAGGGCTCTCCTTGGGCTAGGGTTGCCGGAGCCTGGATTAGGATGGAAGTAGGCAAGGCTGACCCTTAGTGGCAGAGTGCAGAGCCATGAGCATGCTGGAAGAGAAGAGCAGACGTGCTTGGAAACCTCATAAGGACTGCCATCATCACAGAAGGGCCCATAGGGAGAGGTGCAGTGGAAGTCTGTAGTGTTCAGTCCCATGAAGAGAGGTGGAGAATTAGAACAGAGATGCAAAGCCAGGGGCCCACAACAGAGGTTAATTAAGCTGGAACAAGAACCATTAGAAGATAAAGCCTGGAGAGATTTCTCTAGATGCTGGCATACAGAGGGAAGGAATCTTTTTATAAGTAGGGTGACCCTGTGTCCCTATTTGCCCAGTAATGCCTCTTGTCCCAGTGTATTTATTTAGAGCACCCATTTCACTCTCAAGAGTGTCCCAGTTTAGACAATAAATTACAGGATATCCTATTTATAAGGCAGTCTTCCAAGCATTGAGTTCATTCTGACAATAGCACAGCTCCCGAAGTGCAGAGAGGATTAAGTAATCAGCAAGAAGCCTGCCTGCCTTCCAACAACCCTCTGTAGACTATACAAAATTAGGCATTGTTAATATTGCTTTTAATAAGAATATAGTTTTCCTTTTTCTGGAGACTTGTACAATGCACCCTTTGTAACCATCTGGGAAGTGGAGCTGCCAAGACCAAATATTAATACACCTTAACTGACCCTTGTCTGTCTTCTCTTAACCCCTCGCCACCAGGATGAAGGGCTGTGGATCCAGGAGCAGGTCTGAAAACACTGCTACCTCCTAGGTTTCAAGGATCCAGAAATTCAACCTTTCTGTGACTGTTTCCAGACCCCAAGATAATTGTTCAGTTTACTGAATTCAGTTTTTTGGCCGATTTTTTATTTTTTTCCTTTTCTATCTGTGATTCTAACAGTGTAGAAATACAACTTTTATTTTACCTCTCCAAAACCTCCTGTTCAATAGCACTTACCACTTACTTCCGTCCAATAGGAGCTGTAATCTCCTTGAAAGTCATATTTATCAAGATAACTACAAAGTCTTCCTATAGGAAAACCTCACTCATGTGAACCCTACTGATTTGAATTTGTGATCATTTGAGCATGTTGTCTTGACCTATGCCTACGTGTTCTTGTTGCTAGGTGCTGTCCAATTGGTTCCGACTCATAGTGACCCTATGTACAACAGAACGAAACACCAAATGGTCCTGAGCCATCCTCACAATTGTTGCTATGTTTGAACCCATTGTTGTAGCTGCTGTGTCTTTTCAGCTCGTTGAGGGTCTTCCTCTTTTTCATTGACCCTTTACTTTACCAAGCATAATATCCTTCTCCAGGGACTGGTCCTTCTGATAACATGCCCAAACTATATGAGATGAAGAATCACCATCCTTGCTTCTGAAGAGCATTCTGGCTATACTTCTTCTAAGACATTTGTTCGTTCTTCTGCCAGTCCATGGTATATT